ATAATACCTTTTTTGTTTTGTTTTTTGTTTGGGTCCGGGTCTTGCTCTGTCTCTGAGGCTGGAGTGCAGTGGCATGATCCCCACTCACTGCAACATCCACTTTCCCAGTTCAAGCAATTCTCCTGCTTCAGTCTCCCAAGTACCTGGAACCATGGGTGTGTGCCACCACATCCGGCTAAGTTTTGGATTTTTAGTAGAGACGAGGTTTTGCCATGTTGGCCAGGGTGGTCTCAAACTCCCAACCTCAGGTAATCTGCCTGTCTCGGCCTCCGGAAGTGTTGAGATTCAGGCGTGAGCCATAGGCCCGGCCGTATTAACTGTGATACCTCTTAATAGAAACTATTCCAAGAACACCCAAATACTTCTATCCAGTGGCTTATTGGGATTATTTTGTATAAGAGGTCCTACTGTCCTTCTGCTTTAAACTAGATAACGTGTGTTGTTTGTAAAGGGTTTAGAGTTTCAGAGCCCATGGCTTTATTTCAGTTATGCCTTGCTGCAAAGTGTTCAGAAAATGTGAGAAGGCTAAAATACAGCTTTTGAAACTAGGGGAGGAAACACCAAACCTTGTCATCATCTTTGCAGCAACGAATTACACTCTCCTCCAGGAAGTCTAAATAATAAACAGAAGACGTGCCAATTTGAAGCTGCAAGCTATTTTCTGTGTCCACAAAAAATGTTGAACTTACACTTAAGGCAGATAGTAGAAAAGTAATTTGACTGAGCCTAATTTAACCAAAAACAGTTTAAACAATCCCTGGGGAGGAAGACAATCACCATTAACCTTATGTTCATACATTAGACTGAGAAATTAAGGGTTTTATAAAGTAATGTAAGTTGCGAAGTGTGAACCAGAGTTCTATAGCCTTTGGAGAGATTTTGAGGGAGAAAAGTGTATCTTAACTATGAAAATATAGAGTGACTGTGCTGAAAATAGTTGTTCGGTCATAGGAAGTTGTGAGGGTTCTGGTGCATGCAAGTGTTTGCAGGAAAGCCAGAGGTATAAAAGGAATCCACGAATGCATGTATCTGTCTTATGCTGGTAAAGAAACTAATAATATAATGGCTTTGGCTTCATTCGTGCTAGACCCATGCTAAACCCACAGTTATTTAATATTGAGCAACACAGAATGCTGTGATAATGGGCTATTATGTTTTGGAGTTACTGCTTTAAGGCCATAGAGCAAGGTCTCGCACAACTTTGGAAGGTGAATGAACTTCAAGAAGCTTTCACGCACAGACATCCCAATATACAATATACTAGGAATGGTATATTGTACTTCTAAGCACTTAGGTAGTTCCTTCCTTCATTTAGAGCTACCTAAACTGGACTACAAGGAAGCAGGGCATGGGGCAGAGGAATACGTGATCTTAGCCAGCATGGGATAAAGGATGGTATCCTGACTTGAGTTACCTAGAAATCTGGTAAATACAGAAAATGAACCTTATAGTGTTGGAGGTCTTGTCATCCCCTTTCCTCCATGGAAGGGAGCAGATTGGCCCTTCCTTAATGTTCCCCTGCCAGTGGTTGTATGGTGTGTGTAAACTCATAAAATTCATGGTACATATATGCAACCAGAGGGTTGAGTGAGACATCGCTGCATCGCTTGCACTGAGGTGCCAGTGTGACAGACAGCAGGACACTAAAGCGAATCTGAGACTGATTCCCCCACTCCACAAGAAGATTGCCTGAAGAAATGTCCCCAAGAACCTGCTCCATGATTCGTGGTTGCTCAGCCTAATCAGAAATAGGAGGAGAAAAAAAAAAAAAAAAAGCTTCAAAGAGAATGGACAGGAGATTGGCGAAAATTTTCTTTGGAGACAGCTGCTGCCAAGTCTTGAGTCACCCTCCCACTTTCACAGGTAGGGATGGTGCTTCCTTCTAACCACAAACCTAGTAAGGAGGGCTTCGACAGACCCTCAGATAGCTTCGACACTGCTTTGCCCTGGAAAATCTCGGGGCTGGGGAAGCCTGGAGAACGAAGCCAGGTGGGTCTGCTGTGCCTGCACCTGATCATGAAAGCAAGTGATAGGTGGTGTTTTCCTGGACCAGAAGTGAGTCTTGTAGAAAGAGTCCCATACAAAGATGTCTTGAGTCCTGCCTACGTAGAGGGGAAGGTAATTCTTTAAAAAAAAAAAAAAAAATGAGGCTGTAAGTTTACCTTCAACATGCAGGACTGAGGGTGGAGCATTAGAGACTACCCAAAGTAGAGAAGTGTCCACTCAGGTTAGGGGAACTGCAGCATCCATTGATAGTCAAACTGAACGGTTGGCCAGGCCTTCCTCACCAGTGGAATCAGAGGCCAAGACTAGTGAGCAGAAAACCACCCAGCCAGGAAGGAACTGTCTTGCCCCTTTACCTTTATTCCCAGCCCAAGTGTGGACCTTGGAGAAGTCCTAAAGAAAGGCAAGCACAGAGGAGAAGGGAGAGCAGGTAGAGAAGAGACAGTCGTAGGGCTATCCCACCATCCCCACCTGCAGACTCACAACCAGAGGAACGGGGAACTGCAGAAGGGAAGAGGCTTCCCAATAAGTTCTGTTTGGCCATTCATGCTGCCATGAACCAAAGCTGTGTTTGTCACTTAAAGTAACCAAAGACCACTTAAGAGTAAGTGGAAAAGCTGGTGGAAACTGATCAATCTTTCATGGGGGCAGGAGAAAGTTACCCCCATAAAAGAAAGTTTAAAGGGACAGTAGGTTTGAGAAAGGAATATATTGATAACAATCCATAAGCTTTGTTTTTTCTATGTTTAGGTTATAAGTGAGGAAAGTTTGGGGAAATAGCTCTTCGTCAGAGCTTTGTGTCATGGTGACCCAAGGGGATGACCTTATGTGACCATGACACAAAGCTCTGATGAAGAACATATGTGCTCAGATTTAATCCTGGACATCCCGAGTTGTTAGTTTGTGGTGGAGTCTCAGCAGGTGTATTTTTGGGGAAAAAATGCCAGGGAATTCTGATGCTTACACTTGATGATAAATAATTCACTTGCATAAATCCATGGATTGTAGGCCAATAATAACAAGTCATTACAACAGAATAGGTTTGGGGAGGAATGTGACTACTTTTTTGAGTCAGAATTAATTTTGAGCTAGATAAGCCACATTGTGTAATATTTCTTATATTTCTGTAAGGCTTGCTAGCTAATGCCAAAGGAGTAACAGCTAATGCTCCTAAAGAGCAACTTGTATGCAAACGTTGGTAATAGAAGGTAGTTGACTTGGGGAACACTAAATTATTGAAGCAGAGAAGGGGGCATTCAGTGAGAAGAATGCAGTTTTGCTCTTGTATGAAGACCGTGGCTGGGAGAGGCCTTTGAACATCACCACCGAGTTTCCAAAACTCTAATACCTCCAGCTCCTTCACCTGGAATAAATGCTAGGCAGCTAGAAGTGCATAAAATCTTAAGCAGTCTTCATTTCCAATTCAAAAATATAGCAAATTACAGTTAAGAAGGTTCAGAGGACAAAATTAAGATTTAAATGTTCTGGGGTTGCTAGAATCGGTCTACTCCCTTCAGACATCTTTTGAGTTCATACCTATTTTGTGATTGGGTCAGCACAGTTTGTAACCACATTCAACAGCACATGTAGAGGTGACAACATCAGGCTTATATTAACATTTTTGTGGTAAGAGAGACAGAACCCCTATATAGAAATGAATCTTTTTTTCCTACCTTAAAGTCTATTTGTGAATTGAGTTGTGAGTTCCTTTAGTATGAAAAGCAATCACCATAATTTCTTCAGCGCTTTACCCTTTCCAAAATGTTCTTAGAGAAAATATCACATTTTTCACTCATCAATGCAAAGAAGAAGCTAGGACAAGTATTAAAACTCAACCAAATAGCCTACCAACTGACGGGAGCTAAATACTCTAAATGATTAAGTCCAACTTTTGCTCTTCTCCTGGATGTTGTAGACAGGCAGAGAGCAACTACATTGTTTTATATAGACAGATAATACAGTACATTTATACATAACAAAAAATCAGGTTAACTTGCTGCCATTTCAGAAGCATGCCTTACCCTGACAGGAGCCTTGTGTAAGCCACAGAAAGTATTATCATGAAGTAGCTCCAGATACCAAGCACCAAGACCACTACAGACCTCTATGAGTCAATTTTCTATGTGTGTGTGCAACCTTAAAACAGCCTACCAAGGGTAGGATTTCTCTCTTTTATAGCTTGTCATCAATTGTTTTCAGCTCAACAGCTGAGTTGTCAAGGACGAACAAACTTCTGAGAATTTAAAGAAGTCAGTTTTTTCTCACAACTAACAAGCACCTGCCCTCATAGTTGAAGACGATATGGAAATGGCAAGAATGATCAAAAGCAAAGACAGAACATCCAAACCTCGCTTCAACTGCACATCACAAGTTGCATAATTCTAGAATTCTCAATTACAAACTTAGAGAAAATAGCCATGAGATCAAATTTAAAACCTCCCCATGTAAGCCCATATGAAATCAAATTAGTAAACCTCCCACAACTCATTTGTCTTCCCATATTTCTGTCTATATTTATTGAAATGTTTCATAGACTCTGCTAGTCACAACTCAGAGTTCTAAATAAGGAAAGAGCATCTGGTTTGAGCCCTGATTCCACAGAGTAGCCATGTGACTTTGATTAAAGCCACTAAACTTCTACTTCCACTCATCATCTTTTTGACATCTGTAAAATTATAACACCAGCTACCTTGTTCACTTTGTGAGTTTATGGTTAAGACCACATGGGCTGATATATAAAACATGTGAAATTATTTGATGAACTGCAGACCACTCTACAAACAGCAGGTTGTATTTTCTGCAAGAGGTCCCGTTCACTTAGGCAGCACATGATACAACATGTTTTGGTCTTCACCATTGCTGTTTGGAGCCCTTGTCCTTAAGATTCACATTTCTCCTACCATTGCTTACTTTTGAGCCTTCTTTTGCATTGAACTGGCCCTCCACTTTCCAGGCACGGTCTCCTATTTCTGACGTTGATGACAGAAGTGACTTACCAGTGTCGACTCTTGGCAAACATCCTACCCAAGTCCTGGTCCCCAGGGCTCCATCCTAATGTGAGCGAGTCTGCTAGTGCCCCTCGTAAAATATGCCCCTGAAATAGAAAAGAATACATTTTTTTCACCTCTCTATTCCCATGCCCATTTCCTGGGTTCTGGCAAAGTGAGTGACTCAGGACAAAAGACAACCCTGTCAGACACGAAAGGATGAAGGGAGCTGGCCCACTCTCCACAAGCAGACAGTACTGAGATTACCGTGAATCAGCATGTCACAGAGGCACGTGGGATTGCTTCCCAGAGGTGGTGTGAATCAGGGGACAAAGAACCCCTTCCCCTCTTTCTAGGGCAGATCATCTTCCTATGGCCAGGAAACAGAACACAGCTCACTGTCCTGTGCATTCTAACACTTTGTGCTGATGAGCTCCTTAACAAAAGAAAGCATCACAGAAGATTTTGGAGAGACTAAGCTGTCTCTCACTTTAAGGCAAAGATTCAAAGGCACACTGTTAGTTATGACACATAGGACAAATCCTTGACAGAATTCTTGAAACTCCGCAGTACGAGCTTTAAAATTCCCATAAGAGATGGAATGAAAGAAAAAAAAAATATGATGTATTAGGAGCATGAGTGTGCCAGGCACTGTGGATGGAGCTTTACAATGTGATGTTGAATGTTATCATTGGCTTTTTAAGTCAGCTTATGGACACCTGCCATATGTGACTGCCCAATATATTATGAACATCCTCCATACATTTTCGTAGTTTCCCATGTTATCAATTTTGTCTGTCACTGGCATAATCAATTCAGGAAAACTGACCACTCCAGCCTCTCTTTCAACTATGGTGCAGGCAGATGACCTCAGTCAGGTCCACCAATCAGATGTACTTTCATGAGAATTCCATTTGGAAGTGAGCAGTATGAGTGTGCAGGCTTCTGGGAGCATTTATATTGCTGACATGGGTGGTGGTAGAAGAGTCCAGCTTTGGAAATGGGAATAACAATTGCAGGAAGATCAAGTTCCTAGCAGCTGGATTCTAGCAGGCAGGTGGAGACAGCACCAGCAGGGTCCTCATGGTGTCACTCCTATAGCCTGCTTTTCATTATAGTTTTGGAAAGTATAGCCTTGAGTCTATTTCTCTAGCCCTCCCAGCAATTTTTGAGCTACTGAATATGCTTTAAGAAATTCATTTTGTGAGTATGAGAAAACTGACTTATGGAGGCCAAGCAGCTGTTCAAAGGTCACACAGCTAGTTAGAGATGAGATGAAAATGAAAAAAAGAAAAAAATCTGTGCCATCTCTGCAAGATTTTGAACTGTTTGCTAAGAACATTGATTTCATTTTACCTATCCCCTTTTGTGTCCTGTAATATTTAACTTATTGATTCAGCCTTCTTTGCTCCAGGCTAGAACCTATAGACTACGCGATCAAGACATCAGGAAGCTTGGGGTGAAAAACAAAAAAAGGTAGTTTTTCAGAGGATTTCAGTAGCCACCCTTGGCATAAACATTTAAGTGCTACAACATGCTCTCTCTCTCGACTGAAATGGCCCTCAGTGATTCAGATGTGTTCTTCCAGTGGTGTGTTATGCACTCTGTGACTCTCTCTGAGTCATTTCAAGGCAAGCATATGTCACTGAATACAATCCCCAGCTATTTATCAAACAAAAGCACATTGAGGAGGAATGTCACAGGCTTCAAGTGCCAGTAGGCTTGCTAGTGACTAAGAACGGAGCCAGAGCAGGAAGTGAGACCTTGACACTGTGCATGGTTTCCAGCTACACAAGTTGCTGCTCATGTCAACACATTCAAAAGGCATAAGTACATATGAAGAAATTTTTACCCATAAAATTTGACATAATAGCATTTGGCCCAGAATGTTAGTCCTGATCAGTAAATTACTTAGTCTCTGCTTCCATAGAAGTCTGAGAAGGGGTCATACATTTTGAGGACACTCATGAGGGTAGAATAGATCCATTCTATGCATGAACACATGCTCGGCCTATTCTATTACCAGAGAGCAACCTTTGCTTTAGAGTTATAAGATGTATATATTTTTAATAAGGTCTTTCTTTTCCTTGAAATTGGATACAAGCCAACAGCTTGTTGAGAAGTCCCATGTATACAATGGATTAAAATGATCAAGAGACCTATTTGTCTTAGCAGTGGTCTGCTGCCAATGAACATATAGACTAAACGGAGGTGAGGACACATCCGTAGAAGTGTGTAGTCCACTAAATAGGTTTGCCTCCCAGCAAGCAAGAGAGTATTTTGCTATTGGTTGAGGAGCTTTATGGCAGAAAGTCCATAAGTCACTTGGTATCCTGTCCATGTAAACAGAACAAACAGCACGGACTTTTGGCAGGACAGACACATATTTTAACACTAAGAGTTAGAATTTCAACATATTAGTTTCTGGGGGGATACAAACATTCAGTCCGTAACATATAGAAATAGGAAAATCTTTATTCCCAGACTTCAACATCACACACACACACACACACACACACACACACACACACACACACAAACAGAGAGAGAGAGAGAGAGATAATTTACTAGTACCACATGTTCACAAGTTAGATATTTTAGTGGTTACAAAGATTAGCACTGCCATACTACTCTTATAACTCATTTCCCTCAGAACTGCTTGTTGTCAATATCTGTGCCAATTAAACAGATTCTCACCCTGACTCCACACCCCTGCCTCACTTACTTTTGGCAGCATTAAGCATAGTTTTACACACAATCTATAAATCATTACATCTGTAGGCTCTCCCAAGAGATATTAATGTTGCTGCTTGAGAGTTTTCCTGAGGAATTCAATTCCTACAAAATTTGCAATGTCAGGCAAACCCACTTTTTTTTTTAAAAAAAAAAAAAAAAAAAAAAAGCTTTTTATTGGGTAGGATTTCTCTGGATGTATAGTCACGTATCCTTGGTCGAATTCCCACAACTGTAGAAGGACTAAATCCAGGCTCAGATTCACAGGCCAGGACCAAAGTGCACCTGTGGCGGGTGAAGAATGAGGCTCATCCTCGATTGAGGTAACCAAGAGATTTCTATCTTGGTTCTTGGACACTCCATTTACAGAAGACACCTGGAAGCCTGACGAAGAGTAATGAAACTCAAGTTAGAGATTTTGTGTCACTTTTGTTGTGCCTGATGAACTACAGATTAACCTCAGAGACACCCAATCTGCTTGGCAGATTTCCTCAAAGGTCTAGGAGCAATTATTGGTCTTAGGCATAGAAGACCTTCAATCAATGAAAATTCACAGTACACAACGTACAGAGAGCTCTTGTTGAAGACTATTGAAAAAGAGGAACATGGAATTGCTCTTCTCTTCATCCTATCCCTGCATATGAGTAAAAAGAAATTGTAAAGCAAAAAATTTTCATGGGACTCATAATTCAACACTAAACCCAAATTTATTTCAGACTCTTTCTGGAGCAAAGAATTTGGAATTTTCTAGCACCTCAGGTCTTCCTGATGAATAAAAACTCATTAATTCAATAAAAGCATCTAACAATATTAAAAGTTCTTAGGAAATGCTAAGTGTTGAGAGACATCCACCAGAAGACTCAAACCATATTACCCACAAGCCAATCTGTGTTTGCCTCAGCTTAAAGAACTTGAACTTTTATTATTTGTTTTAATGTATATGTCTTCTTTCACAATCTTCTGTTGCTTGGTGATGCTCTCAAGCAGTATCTTTGAATCACCAAGCTTCCCCATCTCAAATTGGCTTTCTCAAGGGCAAAGGGCCTGGTCAGTTCAGAAGAAGCACTAGCCTAGGAGTCAAAAGATCTCAGGTACAATCTGAGTTCCATCACTTAGCTGAGTGGCCTTGAAAACATTTCTTAATTTCTCTGATGCTTGAATTTCCTCTCTGAATAAAGAGGAGATTGAACATGATAACCTTTCAGGTTTCATTTATATATAAAGTTTTATACATAATTGACTTACGCAAAACCTATTTCTTATTTGAAAAATGTGGAGAATAACAGCTACCCTGATTGTCTCATAGGATATTTTGGAAAACATGTAAAACACTGAGGAAAGCAGAGCGTGCACACATTCCAGGCAAATTATATAAGCCAAGCATTATTCTAAACAATTTACGTACAATATATCAATGAGCCTGGCCAATAGTTAGTGGAATATGCTCTTTACTCACCAGCTTGCTCTACCCTCTAACCTATAATGTTTCTTTAGAAGTCACTGCCTCCCCATTGTACTAGGGCTAGGGGTGGGACTTAAAAAGGCATTTATGAATGTGAAATTCAATCGGATGAATGTAAACAGATCAATGCAAAGAGTAATTATTATGTGCCTAGAAAGCAAAGAGAAGAAATTTGCCTATATGAATTCAATAATAGGAAGGCTCCTTCAACTTGAAATTGTAATTTTTGTTTCACTAATATATCTTTAGCTGCTTAGCACACGCTAAATTAACTTACAGTGAGTTCCTCCCCCCGCTCAACAAAACATGGTTTTAAGTCGAAAGGAACCAAAAAATAATTTAACTCAATAGTCTCATTTTGTAAGTAAATAAATAGAGACTTGGATCTTGATGACTTGCAAGCATCACAGGGCTACTTAGTGGTGGCCCTGGGACTTAGGTCACTTCTCTGGTCCCCAGTCTACTGCTCATTCTGTTACAGTTAAGCAGTCATTGGAGAGAGTAGGGGCACAAAGACTCAAGAGGAAGGGGAGAATACGGATTTGTATGAAAAATAACAATTTTGGCTGGGTGCGGTGGCTCACGCCTGTAATCCTAGCACTTTGGGAGGCCGAAGTGGGCAGATTGCCTGAACTATAAGGAGTTCCAGACCAGCCTGGGCAACACGGTGAAACCTGTCTCTACTAAAATACAAAAATTAGCCGGGTGTGGCGGTGGGTACCTGTAGTCCCAGCTACTCAGGAGACTTAGGCAGGATAATCGCTTGAACCCAGGAGGCGGAAGTTGCAGTGAGCCAAGATGGCGCCACCACAGTCCAGCCCGGCTGATGGAGCGAGACTCGATCTCCAAAAAATAAAAATAAAAATAAATTTAAAAATAACATAAAGAGAGAAAATTAACAACTTTGGCTCC